AAAAGAAAAGCCCAGAAACTGATGGCTTCACTGCTGAATTCTACTAAATACTTAAAGAACTAATACCAATCCTTCTTAAACTTTTCCAAAAAACTGAATGAGAAGAAATACTTTCAAATTCATTTTACAAGGCTAGCATTATCCTTACACCAAAGCCAGACAAGGACACTATAAGAAAACAAAATTACAGGCCAATATTCCTGATGAACAGAGATGCAAAAATTCCCAACAAACTACTAGTGAACTGATTCAACAGCACATTAAAAGGATCATTCACTATGATCAAGTGGGATTTATCTCTGAGATGCAAGATGGTTCAATGTACAGAAATGTGATATACCACATTAACAGAATGAAGGACAAAAGTCATATGATAATCTCAATAGATGCAGAAAAAGCATTTGACAAAATTCAACATCCTCTTATGATAAAAACTCTCAACAAATTGGGTATTGAAGGAATGCATATCTCAACACAACAAAGGTCATATATGACAAATTCACAGCTAACATCATACTCAAAGGTTGAAAGCTTTTCAGGAACAAGACAAGGATGCACGCTCTTGTTACTTCTATTCAACACAGTACTGGAAGTCTTAGCCAGAGCAATTAGGCAAGAGAAAGAAATAAAGGGCATCCAAATTGGAAAAGAAGAAGTTAAACTGTTCTGTTTGCAGACAAAATGAGCTCAATCTTAAGACTACACCCCACCAAAAAAAATCTGTTAGAACTAATAAGTGAATTCAGTAAAGTTACAGGACACAACATCAAAATACAAAAATGAGTAGCATTTCTATACACTAACAACCAACAATCCAAAAGAGAAATCAAGAAAACAATCCCATTTATAATAGCTACAAAAGAAAAAATGAAATACTTAGGAATAAATTTAACCAAGGAGATGAAAGACCTATACACTGAAAACTATAAAACATTGAAGAAAGAAACTGAAGAAGACACAGATAAATGGAAAGCTATCTGGTGCTCATTGATTAGAAAAATTCATACTGTTAAAATGTCCATATTACCCAAAGTGATCTACAGATTCAATGCAATCCCTATCAAAATTCCAATAACATATTTTATAGAAATAGACAATCCTTAAATTTGCATGGAACCACAAAAGACCCTGAATAGCCAAAGCAATCTTGAGCAAAAAGAACAAAACTGGAGGCATTACACTACCTGACTTCAAAATATACTATGAAGCTGTAGTAATCAAAACAACATGGTACTGGCATAAAAACAGACACAGAGGCCAATGGAACAGAATAAAGCAACCAGAAATAAATCTACATATTCATGGTCAATGAATTTTTGACAAAGGTGCCTAGAACACACAATGGGCAAAAGAGAGTCTCATCAATAAACGATGCTAAGAAAACTGAGTGTCTACATGCAGGATAAATTAGACCCTCAACTCACACTATGTATGAAAATCAACTCAAAATGGACTAAAGACTTAATTAAGCCATAAGACCTCAAAGTATAAAACTACTACAAGAAAACACAGGAGAAAATCTCCATGACACTGGTCTGGGCAATGATTTTTTTGGACATGACCCCAAAAGCACAGGCAATAAAAGCAAAACTAGACAAACGGAATTACATCAAACCAAAAAGTTTCTGCACAGCAAAGGAAATAATCAACAGAATGAAGCAAAGACCTAAGAAATCGGAG